CTTCCACCCATCTGGTCGGCTCCAACACTCCTTCCAAGAGTGCTTCCGGTTGCATCCAGGGACGAGGCACTTGTCTAGCTCCATCTTCTTCCCCCCACCTCTTTACCGCTGCCGGTACATATTGGAGAAAGCCCTATCACCTGCCCCCATTCCCCCTTCAAGTCATCTACCAGCATCCCGCTTGCGAGCCTCATCAGAGACCAACACCTCCCAGATCTAGGCCTTGGTCCATTTCTATTGCTCAAGGTGAAGGTACTGCAGTAGGGCCTCGTTCGCCTCTTGGTCCAGCCCCTGGAGTGCGGTGTAGATGATCTCCTTCTCATCTACAGTGTAGTTCAACTCCTCCAAGGCTCTCATATACTCATCCACCCTCTGGAGATACTGCACCATGGTCTCCCCATCACCATAGTTGCGTTCCATGGTGTAAAACCGCTTCCTCCAGGTGAGTATGCTTAGCAGCCCTTTTTGCAAGTGCCGATCTTGAACTCTCTTCCATGCTTGGGCAGCTGCACCTTGCTTCCCCTTCAGGTCAATCAGCATCTTTAGGAGCTCTAGTTGGCCTTCCAAAGCCCAACACAGGTACTGGAACGCTTGCTTGTCCTTGCGGTCCCATGCTTCCTGTGCCTTAAGTAGCTCCTCCGCACTAAGCCGTTGCCTTCCGGTTCGCGGTGCTGCTGATCCACCTCCACTTCCCTCAGTTATGGATGAGCTAGAGGCTCCCCCAGCCCCTTCTCCCACTTGGCTAGAGACTCCAGTAGATGCCTTTCCTTCATCAGCTTCAGGTCTTCGCTCCGATCCCTCTAGGTCTTTAATACCTAGCCAAAGCGTAAACTGGAACCGCCATAGCGAAAAATCCGAGCCGGTGAACCTAGGAGGGCCATCTAATTTCTGGGCTATAATCAACCCTAGATCTGGAGGTTCTTAAGCCAATTCGAAATATGATAATAGGAGGGAATGTCGCAGGCTTAACCAGCTCTGATACCACTGATGGGAAACGCACGAATCTGGAGAGCGTAACAGATTAAGTCTGCCGACTTTGGCGAACCATTGCGTGCAGCTCACGTAACCTAAAAATATGAGCAGGTACGCGTTAGAAAGGTCTTAATCTCTACTTTCCAGAATAGTAAAGCACGCCTTCAACCAAGATCTAGGCCGATCGCTATCGCGATTTATGTGCGACGGGGTATCCTGGCGGAATCACTTGGCAGCCATGGATTAGATCTAGGAATGGCTTAAGCAAGAGTTCAGATCTGAAAAGTGACGAGTTTGTCAAACCCTACCAACCCAACCCTCGCCCTACAACAATCCCCAACAACCCAAAATGCCAAACTAGCAACACCAATAGTTCAGATCCCCATATTTTGCCCAAGCCCTTAGCCCACAACCAGCTAGAGCAAAATACCACAACCACCTACACAATCAACACGCAGCACTTTTAGGGAGGAAGCCACGATTGATACTGGGTGGGGATCAATCCTGGCTTGTACAGTAAAATCGTGACATCGCCAACATGCTGGTATCCGGTTTCGCCCTACCTCGCAAGTGTACAGTAAATTGGTGCCTAAAATGGTGGCACCTCTGGCTCCCATGATCGATGTGCCAGCTCCCACACATTGATCGTGTAAGTGTGGAGATCGGGAAATTTTGCCTCATATATTTTCGATCCTCTCACCTGTGGCTCGGTGTCTCTAGGCGATTGCAAATCTGCAGTGTGGACACATCGGTGTGCCGATCGATGTGCCTAAACCGGTGTGAGGCCTCGATTCCCCCCCGATCCTGGCGATTTCCCTAGAGGTGCCGCGTCCATAGCCTCCGAACCTTCCCCGATCCTGAGATTTTACAGAGAGGTGACGCGTCCTAAACGCTTGGGTGAAACGTGCCTAACGACCTGCGTTTGTGTGGGTGGGTGTTTTTTTTCATTTTCCAAAGGGAAAGTACATCCCAGCTCCTAAGCTTCTGATTTCTCTCTCATATACTCCCAAGTTTACTCAAACAGTATAACTTCGTGCAATTTTGCTCACGCGAGGCCCAAATTATGTTCAAAACTGGTCCTTCGGAGCAAAATTTTCGACACGTGTCCATTTTTGCACGGGGAAATGTTTGACGGGACAGAAAGTATAAAACTCCTAGGGAAACCAGGACGCATTTTCGGGAGGGATCAACCCTAAACACGGGAACCCACTCGGTGTTCGGGGTTGATCCCTCCCGAAAATGTGTCTTGGTTCTCCTAGGGGTTTTATATTTTTGCCTTGTCAAAAAGAATTTTGATGCGAACATGGACACATGTCGAAAATCTTGCCCCGCAGGACCAGTTTTGAACATAATGTGGTCCTCGCGTGAGCAAAAAACCACAAAGTCAGTTTTTTTGGATAATCTCGGGACTAAATTAGAGAGAATTTTTTTTTTTTTTGAAGTAAGGAGCTGGCTTTAACTTTCCCTTTTTCAAAGGCTTTCTTCCCAACCCTAGCCCAGCTGGCTGCAAAAATTTGTGTACAGCCCGTGACATAGGCCCTGTTCGATAGGCTAACGCCTTGCAAGAGGCGAAGGCTAGGCTAAGGTTAGGAGGAGGGTTCGGCGCATTTTCCTCTAGCTAAACCCGATCGGAAGCCTCGCCCCTAGAAATCAGAAGGAGCGGGGCCCTGAGGGCGATCTTTCTCGCCCCCTTCTGGCTGGGTCATCTTGGTCTGTGTGGAAAGATTTATACTGCCCGCTATAGAGGTCTGGGTAACAAGGCCGAAAATAAAAAAGGCCCTCCCCACTAAGAGCTCGCCTCACAAGCATCGCCGTTTTTTTTTTTAGGGGGAGTCAAACAACGTGGTGGTTTTTTTTCCGGTCCACGGAGAGGGTAACCCTACCATCCTTAACCTTTGACGAGCCCTTTGGCAAACCCCACTTTGGGGGGGCGAGGGTTAGGCTAGGCGAGGGCTAAACCTTTGCCTGAAAGAGAAGGACGGTGGAACTTTCCCAGCGGGCTAAAGCTTCTCGAGTGGGTTGCGTTCGACATGCTAACCTTAACCCTTCGGACTCTTGAGCGTTAAAGCCCCGTGACAACAAATCACGGGCTGACCGCGGGAAAAAAGTCTTTGTCGAAACAGCCGCGAGGATTCCGCGGGCGTTAAGGCTAGCCTATCGAACAGGGCCAGAAACTAGTACAACAGAGGGCGGAAATCTCACTTCTCGAACCCCCGCTTTCTTGGGCCGAAATGCGAAACTTCGCTTTTGGCGGGGTCAGGCGCCAGCGGAAGTTTCTGGCGAAATGATGCTGATGCCGCTGCCATGCCGATGCCAGCTGCCTGGAGAACACCGCCAAGGTGTGCGCGGAGCTTGAAAACGAATCTTCCCGACAAAAAACACACCCGCCCCTGAAGCACGAGCGAGATTCACCCGCAAGCGGTGCCTTGGTGGCTCGGCGGCAGCAAGCCGCGTGGCTCGCACCTGGCTCGCACCTGGCTCTGGAGTGACACGTGCCGTGCTCGAGAGACGCAGCCAGCAAACGTGCTCCGTCTGAATGGTTTCGGAGGATGGCCGGGGGAGGGACGGCGCGCGCAGGGAGGCCCGAATGTCACTGTTGACTCGCAACAGTCGTGCGGATGCAGCGATGGCCTATAACGGGGATGTGTTTCAGCGGTGCACGATCGAGCGTGCTGCACGGGAGAAGAGGGGCGAGACGCGGCGGGGAAGGGGAGCAGGAGAGGGGGGTGCGGAGAGGGGGGTGGAGGAGGGGAGGGGCGGCGGCAGGGAAGAGGAGGAGGCGTTACCAGGGTGGGTGGCTTGGGGGCAGCGGAAGAGACGACGCGTGCGAAAAGGCGGAGGAGGGAGGGATGGATGGGAAAGGGGGGAAGTGAGTGAGGGAGAAGGAGAGGTGAAAAGCGAGGAAGGGCAATGGGGAGCGGAGCAGGGGGGGAGCATGACGTGCGAAAGGGGAGGAGTGAAGGACGTGGCAGGCATGCGTGTGGAGGGCATGCGTGTGGAGGGCATGCGTGTGGAGGGCATGCGTGTGGAGGGCATGCGTGTAGAGGGCATGCGTGTGGAGGGCATGCGTGTGGAGGGCATGCGTGTGGAGGGCACAGGGCGTGGCGGCGCGAGTGACATGCAGGGCGAAAGAGGCGATGGGGGCGAGGGGGGCGAGGGGGGCGAGGGGGGCGAGGGGGAAGCGCATGGGAGCATGGCAAGTGGAAGGGCGAGTAGCGGCGAGGGGCGAGAGGCGAGTGGCGAGCAGACAGGGATGAGCGGCAATGGGGAGGGAGGGGTAGCGGCGGCGAGAGAGAGTGAGGGCGGCGGGGGAGTGGCGCAGAGCGGCGCGCGTGCAGGCGAGCAGTGGCAGGGCAACACGGTGCGAAGGGACGCCCCCCTCCTCTGCTCAGCCACGGAGGGCTGACGGGCGACGGCAGAGCAGGTGGGGGCTCGCAGGTCACACGGCGGCCCTCCCCCCACCTCTCCCCCTCCTCTCCCCCCACCTCTCCCCCCACCTCTCCCCCCACCTCTCCCCCCATCCGCTCTCTTCATGGCAGCGTCCTGCCGGCTGCTGGCAGTGGCGAGCGCGGCAGCTCCGTGGGCGTGAACGGCCCTGCTGGGAGGGGCATGGCGGCGACGGTTGTACGAGAAGCAGAGGGGCAGGGAGTGACAGTATCAGAGAAAACTGTCTGGGGGGCAAGTGACGAGGTGAGAGGCGATAAGACAGTGTCGTTGAATGTGCTTATAGGGGCATGAAGAAAGATGAAGAAAGAGGAAAAGGTTGTGGGCATGACGGTTTTGGGAAGGAAGGATGAGTGGGTTGCAGAAGGGGAAAGAAGAGATAAAGTGGTCTCTGTGAATGTGCTTTTAGACACTGGGAAGGGCTAGGAGGGAGAGTGGGAGAGAGCGAGGGAGTACATTGGGCAAGGGCGATAAAGTAGTGTCGATGCACGTGCTTGTGGGACAGGGCATGGAGGAGAAGGGAAGGGGCATGGAGGAGAAGGGAAGGATGGATGCGAGCAGGTGGAAGCAGGGAAGCAGTGCAGATGGGGGCCACATGCTGCATGCTGTGCGCTGTCGTCAGGGCAGAGGCGGTGAGGGCAGAGGCGGTGAGGGCCGAGGCGGTGAGGGCAGAGGCGGTGAGGGCCGAGGCGGTGAGGGCAGAGGCGGTGAGGGTATGTGGGAAGGCAGCGAGGCGACAAGGCATGGGCAGCAAGAATGGCAGGGCGGGTGGCGGGATGGCGTGGCAGGCGCCTCCGTTGCGATCCGTGGCGCTGAGAGGGCGGGCGGAGGGACTTGGTGCAGTGCGGGTGAGATGATGGGGGCGGGGCAGGGCGGAGACGGACAGAGGGGGCGAGATGCGGATGGATGTAGAGGCTCAGGAGAGGGGGACAGGAATGGGGGTTGGGGCGGAAGCAGTGAGAGGAATAGCGAGGGAGAGAAGAGGGGTGTGGGCGGAGATAGGGGAAGAGAGCAAAGCAGGGGAGTGGGCGGGGAGAGGGAGAGAGAATGTGGGCACGGGAGGGACACAGGGGACGAGTCCGTGGTGGTGAGGACGAGAGGGGAGGGGGAGGGGGAGGGGGAGAGAGAAGGGTGCAGGGAAGGCGATAAGGAGGATGGGGTAGTTTTGCGAGAGCGTGGAGGCGTGCGGAGGGCGCGAGAAGGGGAGGCTGCAGGAGAAGCAGCAGGTGGAGGAAGAGGAGGAAGAGCAGAGGTGGGAGCACAAGGTGAGGAGGCAGAGGTGGGAGCACAAGGTGAGGAGGCAGTGAGGCGGCCGTGGAGGGATGCAGCGGAGCCGCGCCCACCAGCGCTGACACCTGCCGGGCCAGCATGTGCGCATGGCTTGCTGCGTGCATCCACACCCACAGCCGTCACTGCGTTCTCGCCTAATGGCCTGCCAACGGCTGCCTGTGCTCCACCTCACATCCCCACGCCCCCACGCTCTGCTGTCACCCACCCAGCGCCGCCCCCTCGCCGTCCACCTCCTGCTGCTGCCTCCCCCCTTTCACTCCTCCGCCTCCCACCACCACATGCTTCCGCTGTCCCTCCTCCTCCACTCGTCCGCCTGCCCCCTGCACCGCCTGCCCAGCCCCAGCCCCCCACACGGACGCAGGCGCCCACATGGCCCTACAGCGGCGCACAGCCATCGCACTGTGCTGCCCCGCCTCCTCAATGCAACGCCCCGCCTCTGCTCTGCCCACGCCCACGCCACTCGTCACCTCGTGCTCCCACACTCCCACTCCTCACTCTCCCCACGCCATTCCCACATTGCACGCCATCGCGTCCCACTCCCAGTCCGCCAACACCCCAAGCCACCCTTGAAGGGACTTCCAAGGCTCCCTCGTTGGCGCGGCCAGCCGTGCACGCGGCCAGGTGCGCCGGCCTGGTGGGCAGCGCCTCGTTGGGGCCGCGCCTCGTGGTGCTCGCCCTGCCGGCTGCTGTGCGCGTGGGAGGTGACGTGGTGACGGGGGCAGCGAGGGTGGAGGGAAAGAGAGCAGCAAGAGAAGTGGTGGGAGGAGAAGAGAGGGCAGGGCGAGGTGCGAGGAGAGCGAGGGGTGTGAAGGCGGTGGGAGGAACAGATGGAAGGAGAGGAAAGGAAGTGAAGGAGCAAAGGGGGTGGGAAGAGGTGCGAGTTCAGTTGCAGGAGAAGGCGGGGCAGGCAGAGGAAGAGGTGAGGAGGGGTGACGAGGCGCGCGGAGAAGGGCGTGGAGAGGGGGCGATGGGAAGGGAAGGGGTGGGCGATGAAGCGAGGGCGAGTGGCGCGAGGCAAGGCGGCCAGTTGTGGGGATGGTGGGCACTCCATGCGGCCCACTGCTGCCCCACGCTCACAAGGCGCTGCTGCCCCGCGCTCACAAGGCGCTGCTGCCCCGCGCTCACAAGGCGCTGCTGCCCCGTGGCCAGCGCTGCTCTCTGCTGGTCCCCGGCAGACAGACGGCGTGCACGGCAGTGAGAAGGGCAATGAGGAGGGTGAGGAGGGCAGTGAGGAGGGAAGTGAGGAGGGAAGTGAGGAGGGAGGTGAGGAGGGAGGTGCGGAGAGTTCAGTGAGTAGGGAGGGCTCCCGAATAAGGACAGTGTGGCGGCCGTCAGAGCAGGGCGGTGAGGCAGAGCAGGGTGGTGAGGCAGAGCAGGGCGGTGAGGCAGAGCAGGGCGGTGAGGCAGAGCAGGGCGGTGAGGCAGAGCAGGGCGGTGAGGCAGAGCAGGGCGGTGAGGCAGAGCAGGGGGGAAGGGCGGAGGGCGAGAGGCACAGGCGTGTGGAGGCGGTGGTGAGGCGAGTGCGAGGAGAGCACGCAGGGCGCAGGCACGGGCGCAGTGGGCGTGAGACGCACAGGCACGATGCTGGTGACAGGCGAGAGCAGCGCCGGGCAGACAGGGCTAGGGCAGGAGAGTGTGGAGCAGCATGGCATAAGCAGGGCAGCGGGAGCGATGCTTTGGGTGACAGCAGTGGAGGCGCGAGTGCGAGTGAGAGCAGGAGTGCGAGTGAGAGCAGTAGTGTGAGTGAGAGCAGGAGTGCGAATGAGAGCAGGAGTGCGAGTGAGAGCGCAAGTGCGAGTGAGAGCGCAAGTGCGAGTGAGAGCGCAAGTGCGAGTGAGGAGATGCAGTCTCCCCCACACAGCAAGTGCCGCCACGACAGCCTTGCTGCTGCACGTGTCGGGCTGGCAGAGCAAAGCGGAACACGTGCATGCAGCGGAACACGTGCATGCAGTGGAACACGTGCATGCAGCGGAACACGTGCATGCAGCGGAACACGTGCATGCAGCGGAACACGTGCATGCAGCGGAACACGTGCATGCAGCGGGGGAGGAGGAGGAGTAGAAGGGGTAGCGGAGGAGAAGCATGGGAGAGGCGCAGATGGGGGAGAGGATGAGCAGTTGGACCAAGGTGTGATGGCGGAGGTGAGTCTTTCTGCTTCATTGCGCCATGTTTCACATTGAGCTGCTCGTCTCATGTTTCCTCTCTGAAACATGCACCAGTCCGTATCCTCTCTGAAACGTGCACCAGTCCGTATCCTCTCTGAAACATGCACCAGTCCGTATCCTCTCTGAAACATGCACCAGTCCGTATCCTCTCTGAAACATGCACCAGTCCGTATCCTCTCTGAAACATGCACCAGTCCGTATCCTCTCTGAAACATGCACCAGTCCGTATCCTCTCTGAAACATGCACCAGTCCGTATCCTCTCTGAAACATGCACCAGTCCGTATCCTCTCTGAAACATGCACCAGTCCGTATCCTCTCTGAAACATGCACCAGTCCGTATCCTCTCTGAAACATGCACCAGTCCGTATCCTCTCTGAAACATGCACCAGTCCGTATCCTCTCTGAAACGTGCACCAGTCCGTATCCTCTCTGAAACGTGCACCAGTCCGTATCCTCTCTGAAACATGCACCAGTCCGTATCCTCTCTGAAACGTGCACCAGTCCGTATCCTCTCTGAAACGTGCACCAGTCCGTATCCTCTCTGAAACATGCACCAGTCCGTATCCTCTCTGAAACGTGCACCAGTCCGTATCCTCTCTGAAACATGCACCAGTCCGTATCCTCTCTGAAACGTGCACCAGTCCGTATCCTCTCTGAAACGTGCACCAGTCCGTATCCTCTCTGAAACATGCACCAGTCCGTATCCTCTCTGAAACATGCACCAGTCCGTATCCTCTCTGAAACATGCACCAGTCCGTATCCTCTCTGAAACATGCACCAGTCCGTATCCTCTCTGAAACATGCACCAGTCCGTATCCTCTCTGAAACATGCACCAGTCCGTATCCTCTCTGAAACATGCACCAGTCCGTATCCTCTCTGAAACATGCACCAGTCCGTATCCTCTCTGAAACATGCACCAGTCCGTATCCTCTCTGAAACGTGCACCAGTCCGTATCCTCTCTGAAACGTGCACCAGTCCGTATCCTCTCTGAAACATGCACCAGTCCGTATCCTCTCTGAAACGTGCACCAGTCCGTATCCTCTCTGAAACGTGCACCAGTCCGTATCCTCTCTGAAACGTGCACCAGTCCGTATCCTCTCTGAAACGTGCACCAGTCCGTATCCTCTCTGAAACGTGCACCAGTCCGTATCCTCTCTGAAACGTGCACCAGTCCGTATCCTCTCTGAAACGTGCACCAGTCCGTATCCTCTCTGAAACGTGCACCAGTCCGTATCCTCTCTGAAACGTGCACCAGTCCGTATCCTCTCTGAAACGTGCACCAGTCCGTATCCTCTCTGAAACGTGCACCAGTCCGTATCCTCTCTGAAACGTGCACCAGTCCGTATCCTCTCTGAAACGTGCACCAGTCCGTATCCTCTCTGAAACGTGCACCAGTCCGTATCCTCTCTGAAACATGCACCAGTCCGTATCCTCTCTGAAACGTGCACCAGTCCGTATCCTCTCTGAAACATGCACCAGTCCGTATCCTCTCTGAAACATGCACCAGTCCGTATCCTCTCTGAAACATGCACCAGTCCGTATCCTCTCTGAAACATGCACCAGTCCGTATCCTCTCTGAAACGTGCACCAGTCCGTATCCTCTCTGAAACATGCACCAGTCCGTATCCTCTCTGAAACGTGCACCAGTCCGTATCCTCTCTGAAACGTGCACCAGTCCGTATCCTCTCTGAAACATGCACCAGTCCGTATCCTCTCTGAAACGTGCACCAGTCCGTATCCTCTCTGAAACGTGCACCAGTCCGTATCCTCTCTGAAACATGCACCAGTCCGTATCCTCTCTGAAACGTGCACCAGTCCGTATCCTCTCTGAAACATGCACCAGTCCGTATCCTCTCTGAAACGTGCACCAGTCCGTATCCTCTCTGAAACGTGCACCAGTCCGTATCCTCTCTGAAACGTGCACCAGTCCGTATCCTCTCTGAAACGTGCACCAGTCCGTATCCTCTCTGAAACGTGCACCAGTCCGTATCCTCTCTGAAACGTGCACCAGTCCGTATCCTCTCTGAAACGTGCACCAGTCCGTATCCTCTCTGAAACGTGCACCAGTCCGTATCCTCTCTGAAACGTGCACCAGTCCGTATCCTCTCTGAAACGTGCACCAGTCCGTATCCTCTCTGAAACGTGCACCAGTCCGTATCCTCTCTGAAACGTGCACCAGTCCGTATCCTCTCTGAAACGTGCACCAGTCCGTATCCTCTCTGAAACGTGCACCAGTCCGTATCCTCTCTGAAACGTGCACCAGTCCGTATCCTCTCTGAAACGTGCACCAGTCCGTATCCTCTCTGAAACATGCACCAGTCCGTATCCTCTCTGAAACGTGCACCAGTCCGTATCCTCTCTGAAACATGCACCAGTCCGTATCCTCTCTGAAACATGCACCAGTCCGTATCCTCTCTGAAACATGCACCAGTCCGTATCCTCTCTGAAACGTGCACCAGTCCGTATCCTCTCTGAAACGTGCACCAGTCCGTATCCTCTCTGAAACGTGCACCAGTCCGTATCCTCTCTGAAACGTGCACCAGTCCGTATCCTCTCTGAAACGTGCACCAGTCCGTATCCTCTCTGAAACGTGCACCAGTCCGTATCCTCTCTGAAACGTGCACCAGTCCGTATCCTCTCTGAAACGTGCACCAGTCCGTATCCTCTCTGAAACGTGCACCAGTCCGTATCCTCTCTGAAACGTGCACCAGTCCGTATCCTCTCTGAAACGTGCACCAGTCCGTATCCTCTCTGAAACGTGCACCAGTCCGTATCCTCTCTGAAACGTGCACCAGTCCGTATCCTCTCTGAAACGTGCACCAGTCCGTATCCTCTCTGAAACGTGCACCAGTCCGTATCCTCTCTGAAACGTGCACCAGTCCGTATCCTCTCTGAAACGTGCACCAGTCCGTATCCTCTCTGAAACGTGCACCAGTCCGTATCCTCTCTGAAACGTGCACCAGTCCGTATCCTCTCTGAAACGTGCACCAGTCCGTATCCTCTCTGAAACGTGCACCAGTCCGTATCCTCTCTGAAACGTGCACCAGTCCGTATCCTCTCTGAAACGTGCACCAGTCCGTATCCTCTCTGAAACGTGCACCAGTCCGTATCCTCTCTGAAACGTGCACCAGTCCGTATCCTCTCTGAAACGTGCACCAGTCCGTATCCTCTCTGAAACGTGCACCAGTCCGTATCCTCTCTGAAACGTGCACCAGTCCGTATCCTCTCTGAAACGTGCACCAGTCCGTATCCTCTCTGAAACGTGCACCAGTCCGTATCCTCTCTGAAACGTGCACCAGTCCGTATCCTCTCTGAAACGTGCACCAGTCCGTATCCTCTCTGAAACATGCACCAGTCCGTATCCTCTCTGAAACATGCACCAGTCCGTATCCTCTCTGAAACATGCACCAGTCCGTATCCTCTCTGAAACATGCACCAGTCCGTATCCTCTCTGAAACATGCACCAGTCCGTATCCTCTCTGAAACATGCACCAGTCCGTATCCTCTCTGAAACATGCACCAGTCCGTATCCTCTCTGAAACATGCACCAGTCCGTATCCTCTCTGAAACATGCACCAGTCCGTATCCTCTCTGAAACATGCACCAGTCCGTATCCTCTCTGAAACATGCACCAGTCCGTATCCTCTCTGAAACATGCACCAGTCCGTATCCTCTCTGAAACATGCACCAGTCCGTATCCTCTCTGAAACATGCACCAGTCCGTATCCTCTCTGAAACATGCACCAGTCCGTATCCTCTCTGAAACATTCACCAGTCCGCAACATGATCTCTTGCTTCTGGTGTGCCCCCATCAGCTGGCATCCATCAAGGCACGGCTGGAAGGAGCGCTGCTCTCCAATGCTGCTGTGAGTCACATGCTGTGAGTCACGCGCCACCTGCTGTGAGTCACGCGCCACCTGCTGTGAGTCACGTGCCACCTGGTGTGAGTCACGTGCCACCTGGTGTGAGTCACGTGCCACCTGCTTTGCCTGCACCACCACCTCCTCTCACCATCCTATTTTTCACCTTACTGTGCCGCCCATTTGATTTCCCTTGTTTTGTTTGCTTCTTTCTCTGCACTTCATTTTATCCTCCTATTTTTCTATTATAGTAGACATAAGCTTGTCGTTGTCACTCCCCCCCTGTGCTGTGCATGGGTGCAGGCGGGGCAAGCGCGCGTGCTGCTGTGGTACCTGGCCACCCTCGACATCTCCCCGCCTCTCCTCCGCCACTCCGGCCTCCTCTCCTGCATCGCCCGCCTCGCATTCCCCTCCCACCACTCCCACGGGCCCACGTCATCACCGAGCCTCATGCCGTGCCACCCACCTGTGGCTGCTGACGCTGCTAGCGCTGCCGCCGCGCCACGCCATGTGGGCGGGCAGAAAGCAGGCGAGGCAGGGCGGCAGGCACAGCAAGGGGGCGAGCAGGTGGATGAGAGGGTGAGGCGGCTGCTGGCGGAGCGAGCAGAGGTGCTGTGCAGGCAGTGGCGTGGGGAGGGGTGGTGAGGGCACTGCTGCGTGGATGCAATGAGGCAGGTGTCATCCAGGAGCATGTCTGGATGGACGTCTCTATGTATGCATGTATATGTCTGCATGTCTCTATGTCTACATGTCTCTATGTATGCATGTCTCTGTGTATGCATGCATATGTATGCATGTCTCTATGTATGCATGCATGTGTATGCATGTCTCGATGTACCGTAATCCCCCGTATATAGGACCCCCCCCAGTTGTAGACCCCCGGGTCTATAGTACGGCACCGGGTACTCTATTCATGTACATCTGAGTTATACCCCCCCCAAATGGCCCCTAACATTATAAGACCCCCCCCCACATCCTAGAGAAGTGCGGATTTTACAAAGATGCAATTGAAAATGGTCAAATTCAGTGTTGA